TCCTGCTGGCTGTTCAGCGTGCCAGCTCAGTGCTGCTTGCTTCAATAACAGAACTGAGCCTTTGTGGGAGCTGTCCTGTGGCTTGTTTCATTGTCCTGTTTTCTTTCCTAGACGGTGTTTCTGATCTGGAACAGCCTCAATGACCCTCTCTTTGGCTGGCTGAGCGACAGGGTGTTCCTTAGCACGCAGCAGTAAGTTCGGTTCCACTTCTGGCCAAGGCTGGGAAATTGCTCAGCCTGTGGGGGAGATAATGTGGAATTCACAGCTTTGAAATAATGGTGTGGGGATGGTCCCTGGGCCATTGAACTCTTGGGTGGCTTTTCCTGGCATCTTTGCAGTTCAGTGCTCTTTGCATGTTGTTTCAGTTCCTGGCTCTGTACAGTCACACATCTACTGAGCAGATAACAATCACACGAGAGGTACAGAACCTAAAATACGGTCATCTGAAACCTCAGGCCCCTTAGTGGGGTGTTGGAGAGTGTCCGCATGTGGTTTGGGACACACAAGGAGGGGAAAGGGCAGTTATTTCCACCTGGAATGCCTCCGTCCAGTTGTTCCCAAACTCCCGGGATCATGGATCACCGTTGGCTATTAGCATTTCTCGTGTGTTTACATCAGACTTTTCACAAAAATCATGGTGTGGCTTCCTGTACCTAGTGAAAGCTTTTTAAGTGCTCCTTGAAATAATTTACATTGTGCAAACAGACAGTGCAGAACTAGCAGGGAGAGACATGCTCTGGAGAAAAGAATCCGTTTCCTTCACACCTTTTGGCCTTTTTAAACCCATATTGGTGGTGTATTCACATATTAGCTGAGAAGGTATCTAATGTGGGTGCTTGTACATGAGCAAAAGCTGGTTTTGTGTTTATGCCACTAACACAGCTTCCTTGGAGAAGGAGAATATGTGGTCGTGCAGGGTTTTGCCCAGGTGTCTAAAGTCTTGTCTTCTCTTGCAGGCCAGGAGCAGAGATTTCTTCCCCAGAAGTAGTTTTGAAGAGGCTCAGAGCGCTAAGCCACAATGGCCCCCTCTTTGCCATCTCTTTCCTGGCTTTCTGGGTTGCCTGGGCTCATCCTGGTGTGCAGTTCCTTCTTTGCCTTTGCATGTACGACAGCTTTCTCACCATGGTTGACCTCCATCACAACGCCTTGCTCGCAGACCTGGCTGTTTCAGCGAAAGACAGGACCAGCCTCAACTTCTACTGCTCCCTCTTCAGTGCCATAGGCTCCCTCTCTGTCTTCATGTCCTACGCGGTGTGGAACAAAGAGGACTTCTTTTCTTTTCGCATATTTTGCGTTGTGCTGGCCCTCTGCTCCATCGTTGGTTTTACCCTGTCCACGCAGCTGCTCCGCCAGCGGTTTGAAGCTGATGGGAAAGCAAAATGGGACCAAGAATCAACCCTAAAAGAGTAAGTGTCACCAGTTCCATGGCAGGGACAAAGACCTGGCATAGATTTGTAGGGTCCTTTTACGCACTGCAGCAAACTAAATGGAAAGATCCAGGACACGGCAAATTTTTGTTATTCATCTATGGTTCTTGTTTGTCGATACAGTGTTCAGAATCGCCTCTGTCACACTGGCTCCTAATGCCCTCTGAAAACAGGACAAAACTATCTTGTGACACCCCTGGCCCAAACTGAAGGCAGAGCCCTGACTTGCTGTATGGCCATCCAGTGTTTGGAACATGAAATGAGTTAATATCTAGAGCACCCAGTGAAGCCTGTGAGTGGCAAAATGTCAGCAGCAGCTTATCGTGAAAGCGTTCCTGCTTGAGCATGAGACCTCCTTGCTGCCCATTCCTGCGGAGTTGGACAAGCAAATGTCTCTTACTCTTTTGCTCGCTTTAGCTACCTGGTAGTGGCTGGGCTATTGGTAGGCCGTGACACAGCTATTTTTCCTGTTCAGCTCCCTTGCTTTTCCCTGGGCTGCCTCACTCATGAGCTGCAGGTGTTATGCTGTACTAACACAGCAGGTCCTGGTGAGGTTTGCCAGGTGAGCTAACTGCAGGGATCTGGAAGAGGAGTGTATGCATAGTGGAATGGCTCATAAGAGGAGAATGCTTTTATGGGCAGAAATCTGAATTTTGGCTTAGAAGACAAATGTTCTCTGGGAGGCCTGTTGCCTGTGGTTCTTGCTAGCAATAAGCAAACATCGTAGGCTCTACTGGGAGGGAAGGTTGGGATGGGAGCTAAGGGGAGAGAGCTCTGCATGTATAAAGCAAAAGTTCTGGCCTCTCCCCTGCTTGGTGTGAGGGATTTACAGTTCCTTCTATTCTTTTTCCTCCTCTCCCTTTAGGCTGTACATTGAGAAACTCTCTGTCCCCCAGGAGAAGAGGATCACCCTGGCAGAGTATCTCCAGCAGCTCTCCCGGCATCGCAACTTCCTCTGGTTTGTCTGCATGAACCTCGTCCAGGTATGTGCAGTGGTGACATGTCATGACTCAGAGGCTGAGCACTGGCTGTGAGATGGTGATTCAGCAGCAGTATGTGGGTTCCCCAGGAAGGGCAAAGGTTTTTCCAGCACCCACTTGCTCTTGGAG